ACTGATATTATCTGGAACGTCGGTGCCTGGTGCTAGGAAAAGAGAATATGGCTGTAAAACAAGCAAGTATATCCACACAAATCAGAGAGGACAGGCTGTATAAAAAAACGACGACAAATAAGTGGCATAGACTTCTATTGTATATAAATATACAGACGACAACTAGTAATTTCGTTTACGCTTAGTTTACTTTTAAAAATGATTGCACCCTATAAAGAGGGACGTTGGATCTAAATACAATTAGATTCAATTAGATGAAAAATAAGCATAATATGAAAATAGCCGTAGGTGTGTGCAATTAATTTTAATCACAAAAAGTAAACTAAATTTTATTTAGAAATAAATTTGAAAATATTTTTACAAAGTCCTAGACTGAATATTTTGAACACAACCAATTTGCATTTATAGACCTTGACATTTGATGACAACAATATTACCTTGTTTTGGAAAAAAAACCTTGACCTTAAGCGATTTGATTTACGTTATGTTAGCAAAATTGGAGTAGATTTGCTTTGTAGGCTTGTTGATGTTTAAACTAGGTAGTTAAATGTTCACTGGCCCGTTAATTGGTTTAATCGGCTACATCTACTTCACCGCGTGGTTTGGTACCATCTTTAACAGCCTTAATTTGGTGGTGAAATGGGTAACTTCATGGTGATTGTGTTATTTTTTTGTACTATACTAGATATTTGTATTATGCAGAAATATGTTATGATCAATAATTGTCATTTTCTCAAAAGGCATTCATTTTTTACATTAGCTGTAATGAAAATATTAAAAAAATGCCCAAATATCTTTAAAAGATAAAACACTTAGCAATTACTTTTTCATTTTTTAATGAAACGTGATAGGATATATTTTTGTATGCAAAACTTTCAGGTCGCCTGTTCTGTGAATTTTGATGAAATTCTCTGTTTTTATTGTAGGCAATTAAACGTGTTCATTTTTAAATGGTTAGCATATTAAATATGACGTAGGCTTTAAGCATTTTTTTCTATGTTTAATTTTATGTTTAGCTATCAATTGTAGGACTCGGGTCCGCAATTAACATTGTCTTCCCGACGTGTGTAGAATTTATATAAATGGATGCATCGAATATAAATTAGGCATACAATATTCTATTAATTGTAAATTCACTTTTAGCAATACAAACTAATTATCTACCAAGTAACGAACCCAATTAAGTAAATTTGAAATTAATAACCAGTAATTTTTTCAAAATGGAATGAACGTTGTTGTTTTGTTTTAGATAAATCAGATGACTGCCTGGAAAACATCCCATTCACAGCAGTAGTAGCATTTATTCTAGTGATTATTGGTGCCAGCATCGTTGGCGGAACAGTATATAAAGCACTATCAGAAACTGAGGCAATTTTCTCAACACATTTCTTCACCATTCCTTGGTACG